AAATAAACTGCCAGTTTGTAACATATGTAGAGATTAACTTTATTTCTTATCAGTGATCAGTAATAAAACTAAGTATGGGAGGGACACTCTATAATCCTTTCTTAACATCTTACCTTTATTATGTGTATTATATTGGAATAAAAAACTGACTTTAGTGTTTGTACCATGCTATTCAACCAAAGGAAGTTAAATAAACTTGTTTTTCTGTTTCTGCAGTTGCTGCTTCATCTGTGTGTTTGCGGTGCTGACAAGCAAAGGTAAGCAACTGAACAAACTACATTTGAAAAATAAACTAATGCCACTGACTGACTGTTAAAATACATTTACAATTACTGTTTCTGTCATTTCAGTGTTTCTACAGGAAACAGTAATAGCTGTTATTGGTGGTTCTGTTCTCCTGCCGTGTTCTTCCACTGAAGAAGATCATAAACTTGAAGAAATTAATGTGTTTTGGAGACACAATGGCAGCAGGATTGTGTGTGATATAATTCCCAGCAGTACTTCTCTAGAGAAACAGGATCCACAGTATAAGAAAAGAATTGAAACTTTTCCACAGGAGTATGAGAGAGGAAACTTCTCTATCAAACTCAAGAAACTTATTTATGCTGATGGAGGAGAATACATCTGCTACATCTCGCACTCATCTGAACATCCTACTGTACAGCTGATCATCAACGGTGTGTGAAACTAGTAGATTAGGGCTTGAAGTTTTTAATATAAAGTTGTTTGCTTTAAAATCTAAATACTGCAAGATCTTTAGCCATAAAACTGTACATATACCTCCGCAATATAGCATGTAGAGTGGGTACACTGTTGGAGACAAACATCTGGCTTGCGCTTGTCCACCTTGGGACCCTAAGCAAAATTCTAAGCGCATCATTATATGCCACCTGGAGCTTTTTCATTTTAGCTCTAGAATATTTACACCGCAAGTGAGCTGTATAGAGAGAAGTACAGTATGCCCTAAACAGAGATATTTTAACATCTTCTGTACACGTATAAAATTTACGAGCCAACACGTTAGATTGTCCATACAGCTTACAACACTGTCGCTGTATGTCATCGTCATCATTTAAGTCATTTCTAATAATGTGACCCAAGTATTTAACTTTAGTTACTACATTTAAAACTTGGTCATTTAAATAAAAAGAAGGAAATTTTAACCTAAGGTCCTCATTGGTTCTAACAATCATGATCACACTCTTTTCAACATTAAATTTAATATCATGCTGCACACCATAGCTTGAACATATTCGAAGCAGCTGTTGTAATCCTGCACTATAAGGAGACATTATGACTAAATCGTCAGCATACATCAGATGATTAATAATACTATCACCTATTACACATCCAGTCTTACAATAATTTAACTCTATAGAGAGACCATCCATGTTCCACCCTTGTCGAACCCCATTCGTCATATAGAAAGGTTCAGATACATTCTTCCCCCACCGGACTTTTAAGGTTTGATGTATATACCAAAAAAGTAGAATTCTTATCAGGTAAGGGGGAACCCCTCTTTCTTGCAGTTTTATAAATAATTTGGAATGGTTGATTCGATCAAATGCCTTCGATGCGTCCAAAAAACACATAAAAACTGTGGAATTATGCTCATTATACTTACTAACCACTTCTTTCAAGGAATATATGCATAAATCAGTGCCATGCTTGCTTTTAAAACCAAATTGGTTATCCGTAGTTACTAAATATTCTTTTAGCCTATCCATGAGGATTCTCTCAAATACTTTTGAGATCACACTTGCCAATGCAATTGGCCTGTAGTTTCCTGTCACAGATATTTTACCGGTTTTATCTTTAATTACTGGCACTAATAAAACTGATATCATGGAATAAGGTAGCACACCATGAATTAAAAAACCTGTAAAACACAATGCAAGTAACACGGTGATCCTCGTACTAGCTTGCTTCAAATGTTCAGCTGTTATTCCATCTGGACCACAAGCTTTATTCTCAGCCAATTTCTCAATTGCATATCTGACCTCGTCCGGTGTAACAATCATACCTTCATCGCACGACACATGTCCAACCTTAAATTCCTTCCTCTCAACACAGTTAAAAATATCTCCATAGTATTTTCTCCACAAGTTAACAATATTATCAGCCCCAACAACCCCATCAATGCTAGTTGGCAGTGGTATTTTACAATTTTGACAGTTTTCACTTCTTTCCAAAATTCATAAACATGATTTTGCTGAAAGTTCTTGGCCATTGAGTTTGCTCTCATGGACAGCTCGTTTCTTTTAATAAACCGTACAGCATACTTAAATTTAGCATTTGTCAGTTTCTTTTGCTCAAATTCTGGGCCATACCTAGCTTTGCCCGTTAAAACCCAGTTTTTAAATGCTTCTCTGGCCTGGAGATGCAGTTCAGAGACATATTCATTCCATATTGTGTCGGTTGAGTGACTCAAAAAATAGCATCATAATGGTGCTAAATAATATCACATTAAGTGATACAAGGTATTTTTCCTGTTTCTGGAGGCAGTGGAATGAAAGCTTATATGTTTTTTAAGAGAAATGTGTATGTTGTCTGTAAATCGATGTCTGTATGTATTGTTCTTGTTTCTACTTTGTTTGTTTTTTGATATGGACCCATTGGTCTGAAATAAAGAGTAATTCGAATTTAGCCAATATTTGATGTTCACTTGTGATGTTTGAGTCTGTATATAAACTATTTATTTCCTGTTAAACTTTTTTTGTTGCAGAATCAGTAGCAGAAAAAGGAACCGAATCGACTGAACAAGAAATCCAAGGAGAAACAGAACTGAACAGTGTGGAAACATCATCGCCTTGGCTCTGGGTTGTCATTGTATCTGCAGTAGTTATAGTTACAGTTATAGGTTTTATCGTAGCTTGGTGGATAAGAAAGAATTCAAGCAGGGCAGACAGACACGATATGGGTTAAGATGTGGACTCAGATGTGGGCTCAGATGCTCATGAGGTTGAACACATTAATAGCTGATAATAATGAAAATGTAGATTGAGTGAGTGTGTGTTGCTGTATTTCCTGCTGTTCACATTATGCCTATAACAGTTTTATTGTACAGCTGTGAGGATGGATTTTGTGGGAAACATCATTCTTCCTTTCATTCATCTGAGCATGTTTTGTCTTATATCTGTAAATATAGGAAAGAAGGTCATAACTCATAACTAGATGCAGTGGAAGTTGTTTAACTAAGGTGTATTGTTGAGACTTGAGAACGATGGTGGCAAAGGCTTTATGATCTACTTCAGCTTAAACTGCTTTAGGGAAACACAGACAAGATTCATAAAACAGTGTTTATGTCCAGTCAAAACAACAGCAGAAAATAAGTTACTGACCTGATCAGAAGACATATTTGCTTAAATATCTGTCTTTCATTATTTATTCATTTATTTTTAGGATAGAGAGAATTTAATGTTGTTGGTGACATTTGCACTGATAAGACGATCACCTGTAAGCATGGGATCAGTATGTAGGACTAATCCTGCACAAAAATCTATCATGTTTTGGAAAATCATAAATATGAGATTAAAACGTTGAAATTATTTCATAAAATGTCAATTATGCAATAAGTCAGAATTATGAGAAGAAAGGTGAAATTATGATGTAAAAAAATCTTGATTGACAAAGTCCTAATTAAGTGATGCATCTCGAACCGTCAGATTCATGTGCGCTGAAAACCAGTGACTCGCTACTCATTGACCAGAGCTTAATGTTCCTCCACAAGTATTTTATTCTGCGACTGCTAAAGGACCAAACATTATGTATTCTTGCCTTAATGACTATATTTATATTTTGTACCCTTTATGATTTTCAATTTAAAGTAAAGTGCTTTTACTTGCCAGTGTATATAAATAACTTTGCCTTACCTTTCCACTTTGTAACTTTTAGTTTTTGCAGTTTTATGATGTAAAAGACAATGTTTTGTACCGTTACATTTTTGCCTTATGCACTGCGTTCTTATGAACAGAATGGGATCTTGAAAAGATACATTATTGGTTTAAAGACAATTGAGTCTGTCAACATGTTGCTGCCTTAAACATTCATCTTGAAAATATTGTTTTATTTGCTGGAACTGTGAAGTGTTTAACATTTCTCATGTATGAACAGAGGAAAAATGGAGCGTTGTTTCATTGTGTTTGCATGATCTTATTATGATGAAGACCTAATAAATTGTTTTGCTGAAATAATGCCTCTGTCAGTTGTTTGGATATTTCTAATCATAGTTTTTACTAAAAAAAAATGTTTTGCATTTACATTAAATCATTTGGATGATGCTTTTATGCTAAGTGTAAAAGCAGAAATGTGGTTTTGCTTTATAAAAACAACAAAAACACTGTACATCAGTACAAACAGTACAGAAATGTTGTAAGTGACGCAGGTGGAGTAAAGGCTGCTACTGCTTATGACATCCAGAACGTCTTTCACCATTCAAAACATTTCCTCACTAGTTCAACCTGTTAAACAACCAACCAGTGATCCAGATATCACAATAGTTATAGCTTATTAGCAGGACAGATCATGTTTCTATTTAAATTATCACTATTATCACTGACAACATGAGATGCTGTCACACCAAGGGGGCACGGTCGGCCTTGCTGTTTGTAAGCCAAAACGATTGCGTCCACTATCCAGTAAGACAACCGCTGCTTTGAGAGAGCCTTTTTTTGTTATATGAACACAATTAGCATTGTGTTCATATAACAAAACACAATACAGCAATGCGGTAATACATACAAACACTGTGCTTTAGAGAGAACTGAGAACCACAGAGAACTGTGCTTTTGCAAAGACAATTGTTATTACAAGAAAAGAATAGACTCTCTCTCTCTCTCTCTCTCTCTCTCTCTCTCTCTCTCTCTCTCTCTCTCTCTCTCTCTCTCTCTCTCTCTCTCTCTCTCTCTCTCTCTCCGTCTCTTTCTCTTGACTTTCTCCTCCCATCAGTTGTCAGGGAATGTGAGTGTCATTCTCTTAACTCTTCAATCATTCTGTCAGGATAAAAACAAGAGAGAGGAAGATCTTTCTGGACTGAGATCAGATCTGAAAAAGGAAACAGGTAATTTACTTTTCATAATGTTATCACTAAATTTAACAAAATTCAATTCTCTCTCTTTCATTTTTCAGGTCAGAATGATGTTGCTGGAAGCTTTGAAATCTTGTCCTGCTCCATACACTAAAGTCAAGTCAAGACATGACAGAATATTAAAGACTCATTTACGGCAGGAATATATGAGACATCGTTCAGAGAAATGTTTCAGTTAAAGGGTTAGTTCACCCAAAAATGAAAATTCTGTCAGTATTTACTCACCCTCATGTTGTTCCAAATCTCTATGTGACTACCCTATTGACTACCATAGTACCATAGGAAAAAATACGTTAACACTTTAGAATACGGTTCCTTCGTTAATGAATAACTACACAAGAACTAATGAGTAACACAATATTAACAATCTAGTAACTATTATTAACTAACAAGAACCTCTGATTAACGAACTAGTAAGTAATAGCGCACATACGAAAGTGGTAGTTCACTATTAAGTAATCAATAACTACTATTTTTTTAATACTTCCCAGAGAACTACTGAAAAAGTTTATTAACAATCTAGTAACTACTATTAACTAAAATAATTAACGAATTAGTAATTAATAGCTCACAGATGAAAGTGTTACTAGATACTTCTGTGGGAGTTACTAATTATTTGGATTCGTATTATAAAGTGAAGATCATTGGAACTAACTAGTAATTACTCATTTATTACTAAAGACATTTTCTAAAGTATACTAAAGTTCAACAAAAATATCAAACGGTTGCACAAATCATGACTAGATCATGTAGTAACACTTGAGTAATTACTAGTTCGTTCCAATGATCTTCACTTTATAAAATAATTAGTAATTCCCACAGAAGTATCTAGTAACACTTTCATCTGTGAGCTATTACTTACTAATTATTTGGATCCGTATTATAAAGTAAAGATCATTGGAACTAGCGTCTGTGCGCTATTACTTACTAGTTCGTTAATCAGAGTTTCTTGTTAGTTAATAATAGTTACTAGATTGTTAATATTGTGTTACTCATTAGTTCTTGTGTAGTTATTCATTAACGAAGGAACCGTATTCTAAAGTGTTACCAAAAATACATACTATGGTAGTCAATGGGGAATGAGATCTGTTTGATTAAAACATTCTTTCAAATATCTTCCTTTGTGTTCAGCAGAACAACATGAGGGTGAGTAAATACTGACAGAATTTTCTTTTTTGGGTGAACTAACCCTTTAAGGACCAGGATCCAGAACACTGTTTTCTCAGAGGAGTTTCAGACAGAAGCTTCACTCAGATAATCATGTAAGTCTGAGAACATTTACTCATTTACTGCTGTTCATTTCACTAATACTGGATCAAACTCACATCAGACAGAAGGACGAGTATAGATTCATGCTGAAAAGACCAGCTTATTCTTATTTTTTTTTTTTTTGTCAAACGTGATTATTTTTCAGTGAAACTACCACAATATTTTGTCTAAACTTTGTCTAGCTTTTTGTCATGTTATAAGAAGGCAGAAATGGTACAAAGAATTATTAATAATTGGGCCCCACTGTATTTTAACTCCTATTTCTCTCTGGTTTATGTAAGATATGGACACTATACTAGTCATAGTATTATGGATCTGATTCTATAAGTGTAAGACTGTGTGGTAATGGCACGTTAACCATTTAAAGTGAGTAAAACTGAAAAAATAAAAAAAAATTACATTTAAGTCACCGTTATGGTGATCAGTGTTTGTTTTAAAATGACGGTTTTGTCCTTCAGTGATTCTGCTTGTTAACATCAGGTGTCTTCAATGTTGGCGATATAAAATAAAGAGTTCTTAATTAATCTTTGACATCTGTCTGTTATTCAGATATTTTTGTTTATTTTTTTGGGTGTAAACTTTACTCATTTTAAATGGTTAACTTTTAAGGAATTAATTTGATTAATTATTACTCAATTCTAATTTGTTCAATTTAATTAATAATATTGCTTGTAATCTGTTGCCACAATTTTATTGATTAGAAAAAGCACATTCGTTTTTACAGTGTACTTTTATGAAACTCAAACTCAACGAATATCCACATGTCTGATCAGTGTACGTGATACTGTTGACGTCTCTTACGTCTGATGTCATACGTAGAACGCTTGCTGTATACGGAAGCTGAGTTATGATTCTTTCTGGTGAAAAAGTTGTTCACTCTAATTTCAAAAGTGTTTTTATGCAATATAGGCTATGTGCACAACCGTAGTTTCAAACTTCCGCTTTTGTCAGAAGTTGGCGTATCAGTTTCCGGTCTACGACTGGTCATCCGCATCCACTAATAAACAAAGAAGATGATTGCTGCTGTTGTACGAAAAAAAAAGAGATCTTAAACACATCTAAGTTTCTTAGAACTGTAGTGGATCTAACGTCCGTTTCACACCCGTTTGCAGTGTGTGTTGCGGTGCAGGAGCGTGCTGTTAGTGCGTTCACATTTAGGCTATTATGATGCGTTTGCACAGTGAATAACTGATCCGCGGCTGTACAACAAACACATACTTATTATTTTTATTTAAAGTCCAGAAGTTATGCTGCAACTTATTTTTAAAAACAAAAAGTTGTGTCAGCATTGCGATTCTTAGTATGCACGTTTAAACACAATTTAAACAATGTAAGTTACTCCATGCATTACAAGTTGCTCAAGCAAGTGGTCAAATATTTCCTATATTAAAATCGCAAATAATTTAAATTAAAACTTGAAATTGACAAAAGCAGCCGACTTGCCTTTTCGTTTGCATCTTAATTTCAAAACAATAGATCTTGCATGTCACAAAACTCAATTATTTTTCCACCTCCACGATCGAGACGAGTTCATTCTGTCGCCTGGTTGAAGTAAATTGTAGTTTTCCTTGATTAAATGTGCATTTATGGTGAGATTACTATTTTATTTAATTAAACGCATTTATGGTGAAATTACTACATTTTCAGGTCAATCTTTATCATTTTGACCACCAGCGTTTGCAGCACAGCAGAAATAGATTCGGTGTGGAAACGATCGCTGTGCTGCTGTTATATGTACCACACCAGTGAAAAGTGAAAGCCCTAGCAGCTAACCTGTTTACATGGTGCGTTAGGAGACTGCTGTGCAGCACTTGCTCTGCTTCAAGTCGCTAACAGCCATTTGAGCTTCTACTGCTTCCTGATAAACACCAACCTTCGTGCGCAGTGGCTGCAGAAAATAGACATTTTGATCGTCGCGCAAAAAATAATAAAAATATTAAGTATGTGTTTGTTGTACAGCCGCGGATCAATTCACTGTGCAAACGCATCATAATATGTGAACGCACTAACAGCACGCTCCTGCACCGCAACACACACTGAAAACGGGTGTGAAACGGAGTTTAGATCCACTACAGTTCTAAGAAACTTAGATATGTTTAAGATCTCTTTTTTTTTCGTACAACAGCAGCACTCATCTTCTTTGTTTATTAGTGGATGCGGATGACCACCAGTCGTAGACCGGAAACTGATACGCCAACTTCTGACAAAAGCGGAAGTTCGAAACTACGGTTATGCACATAGCCCATAGTCAAATTAAATTATAATATTGGTCCACCATGATGATCAGGTATGTTTGATGAATGCAGAATGAAACTCTGTTTGGAAACACGTGTCGTTAACTTCAAAAAAGGCCTGATGTAGCATTAGCTTGCTAGCATTAGCAAGCTCGGCCTGCTGTGTTTTGGTTGTCAAATGCTTTATTTTAACTAAAATTAAAAAGCAAATCTTTTAATTGTTGTTAAAATTATTGATTTAATTGATTTGAATTGATTTAATTAATGATTTTAAAGCTTGTAACTATTATTATGTGGTAGTTAGCAGTTAGCAGTTTGAAGTAGTTTTGCCAATAGAGTCAGAAGGGTACAGTTCTCCCTTAAAACACTTACTGCCAGCTTGTAACATATTTAGAGATGAATTTAGTGACATCAGTGATCAGTGATAAAACTGAGTGTGGGAGGGAGACCCTATAACCTTTCGGTAACACTTTCTTTTGATGGTCCCTTTTGAACACTGTTGACTGTAAGTAAATTTGCAACTACATATCAACTAACATTCATTAGAGTATCAGTAGACTGTCTGCTTAATATCTGCCAACTCTTTATTGTGATGCTCCTCCAACAGACAATCTACTGACTATAACTAACTTTGCAACAACATGTCAACTTATTCAATCCCTAACCCTACCAGTCTACTAATACTCTACTAATATAACACTCTAGTGAGAGTTAGTAGAGATGTAGGTGCAGTGTCACTTATAGTCAACTGAATGTGTTAAAGGGACCATCAAAATAAAGTGAAACTGTCATATCTTTTATTGATGTATACAGTGCATGCATGCATGACAGGCAGATGATTAGAGATTAAATGACTATAGATCAGAAACATTATGATATTAATAATGGTGAAAATTCAGCAGAATATCTGGAGTCTTGATTATAGCCTACCGAAGTAAATTTAGATCTGCACATGTCTGATCAGTTCACGTGATTTCTGTTGACGTCACTTGGCCTGCGACAACGCCTGCGGAAGCTGACGAAGAGCTACGATAGTTTCTGTTGACAAAGTAGTATTATACTCTAATTAAAAAACGTTTTTTTGCAATAAAGTCTAAAAAAACATATATTGTTGCTATTAAGGCATCATGGATATCAGGTATGTTTGATGAATGCAGAATATGAAACGTTATTTGGACACACATGTCAGGCCTACACATGCAGGCCTGATGTAACGTTGTTCGTGTTTTTTAGCTTGCTGAATTTTAGTGGTCACATGTTTTCTTTAAACCAGAAGTTAAAATATTAAACATCAATTGGTAAATCAATGAATATAAAGCTTATATGCATGGTTTATCTGCAGTAACTATTATCTGGATTAAATGGTTAGCAGTTGCTGCTTGAACGGGTGTGCAGGAAGTTTCATTTAATAGTAGTTTTATTTGTAGTGAATTCAAGGTTTTACCAATAGGGTCAGAAGGGTAAAGTTCCCCCTTAAAAACACTTACTGCCAGATTGTAACATGTTATTCAAGTTGAACCAAATGAAGTTCAATACAGTAAGCTTAGTTTTTTTTTTCTCTTTCTGCAGTTGTGTCTTCTTATGTGTGTTTGCGGTGCTGATAAACAAAGGTAAGCAACTAAACAAACTACATTTGAGAAACGAATTAATGCTACTGACTGTTAAAATACATTTACAATTACTGTTTCAGTAACAGTCTAATAACTTTATAAATCATTAGTTAAGCATTATGTTCTGTTTCACTCTGTTGTGTTTGTTTAATTTTTATGTTTAGAAGATAACTGAGCCTTTAAATTTCATTTGCAAAAGCTTTACGAGGCATAAATAGTCCTCATTTTAGTTAACTCAGCTTTTAAACAACAATGGAAAAAATTCTGGGTTGTTTTTACCCAGTTTTGGGTAAAATATGGACAAACCCAGCCATTAGGTTAAAAATGTCATTTAAAAATGTAACCCAATGGCTGGATTTGTTCATATTTTACCCAAAAAGCATTTTTTAGATAGTACCTGAATTTATCTTTAATTACAGTAGGAATACATGTTAATAAAGCATATCTTAACCCACTGAGTAATTATTGTTTAAACAACATGTATAAATGTACATTTTGTTTATTAATCATGTTCTCACACTTTCTAAATGATCTTATAAACCACTGACAACTCCAAAATAACTGGTTTGTAAATAGTGTAATAGATCATTTAGAAATGATAAACACATAATTAATAAAGTATGGAAATACTATTATTAACACATTATATATGTGCTTATAAATCAAGAATAAATCATTTTTGCTGTATTTAAAAACTGTTTATTAACATCTACGTATGTTTGATAAATATACTATTTAATAATGCTTAACTATTGATTCATAGCATGCATTTGTTATTTAGTGTTACCAAAGATTCTTTTATTTCAGTGTCTCTTCAGGAAAAAGTTCAGGCTGTTATTGGTGGTTCTGTTCTCCTGCCGTGTTCTTCCACTGAAGAAGATCATAAACCTCAAGACTTCAATGTGCATTGGAGACACAATGGCAGTGAGCTTGTGTATGATATAGTCAATGGTGAAAATTCACTAGAGTTACAGAACCTTCGTTACAAGAACAGAACCGAATGTTTCCCACAGGAGTTTGAGAGAGGAAACTTCTCCATCAAACTCAACAATCTCACACTGATGCTGGAGAATACAGCTGCCTCATCCCACCCTCAAATGAACAGAAGACTATACTTATCATCACTGGTGTGTGAAACTAGTGGATTAAGGGATGAAGTTTTTAATTTAATTAAATTAGTTTGCTTTAAAATTTAAAATTGATATATTAATCAAGTATGAAATATTGATCAAGAAGTTGATCCCATATGTGAAGTTCACTAATGATGTTTGAGTCTGAATGCTTCTGTATATCAATTATAGACGGATCTGTTATCTTTATCACTGTGAGGTAAAGTTTCCGGTTGTACTTTTTGTTGCAGAATCAACAACAAGAAAAGGAACCGAATCGACTGAACAAGAAAAACAAGGAGAAACAGAACCTGACAGTGTGGAAACATCATCACCTTGGCTCTGGGTTGGCATTGCATCTGTAATTATAGTTGTTAGTATAGTAGTTGTTAGTATAGTAGCTAATAATAATGATAAAGCAGTTGGTATGTGACTCACACAACTGTAACACAGAGTCAGAGGAGGAGATTGATTCTTTCATTTTTGCTGCCACAACTTTCGATAGAAGAAAGTTAGAAATAATCATAAAAGTGTGTAAAGGATTTGGTTGAATAACAGAGAACAAAATGGAAACGTAGATTGAGTGAGTGTGTGTTACTGTATTTCCTGCTGTTCACATTATGCCTATAACAGTTTTATTGTGCAGCTGTGAGGATGGATTTCACAGGGAAACATCATTCTTCCTTTCATTCATCTGAGCATGTTTTGTCTCATATCTGTAAATATAGGAGTGAAGGTCATCACGCAGTGGAAGTTGTTTAAAGCAACCCGGTCTCATCCCAAGACGTCATATAACTGACGTTTTGGGACGTCTTTTGACCATACGTCAATATTCGCCTTTTTAGGGCCCCCTTAAACGTCGGTAGATGAGGTTATGGGATCCTAACTCTACCCCATACCTAAACCTAACCCTAAACCCAACCCGTCACCTAACTGACGTTAAAGGTAAAGCGTCAGTTGTATGACGGCCCGGGATCGCCATCTACCGACGTTTAAGGGGGCCCTAAAAAGGCGGATATTGACGTATGGTCAAAATACGCCCCAAGACGTCAGTTATATGACTTTTTGGGATGAGACTGTGTTATTTAAAGCCATATAAAACTAAGGTGTATTGTTGAGACTCGAGAGCGATGGTGGGAAATGATCTACTTCAGCTTAAACTGCTTTAGGGAAACACAGACAAGATTCATAAAACAGTGTTTATGTCCAGTCAAAACAACAGCAGAAAATAAGTTACTGACCTGATCAGAAGACATATTTGCTTAAATATCTGTCTTTCATTATTTATTTTATTTATTTTTAGGAGTGAGAGAGTTTAATGTTGTTAGTGACATTTGCACTGATATCACCTGTAAGCATGCATTGTGTAGGACTAATCCCAAACGGAAAAAAAAAATATATCATGTTTTGAATAAATCATAAATATGAGATTCAAAAGTTGAAATTATGACATAACATTTAAAATTATGTAACAAGTCGGAATTATGCGATGAATGAAAATGAAATGTATTTAAAACATCTAAATTGACAAAATCCTTATTAAGTGATGCATCTCGAACCATCAGATTCACGTGTGCTGAAAAGCGGAGCGACTCGCTACTCATTGGCCAGAGCTTAATGTTCCTCCACAAGTATTTTATTCTGCATCTGCTAAAGGACCAAACGTTACGTATTCTTGCCTTAATGACTATATTTATATTTTATACCCTTTATGATTTTCACTTTAAAGTAAAGTGTTTTACTTGCCAGTGTTTAAAGTGTGCTATAAATAACAATCTTTCAACTTACATTTAGTTTTTGCAGTTTTATGATGTAAAAGACAATGTTTTGTACCGTTACATTTTTGCCTCATGCACTGCATTCTTATGAACAGAATGGGATCTTGAAAAGATACATTATTGGTTAAAAGACAAGTGAGTGTCAACATGTTGCTGCCTTAAACATTCATCTTGAAAATATTGTTTTATTTGCTGGAACTGTGAAGTGTTTAACTTGGAAAAATGGAGCATTGTTTCATTGTATTTGCATGATCTTATTATAATGAAGACATAATAAGATAATGCAAATTAGACATAAGACATTACTAATAAATTGTTTTGCTGAAATAATGCATCTGTCAGTTGTTTGGATATTTCTAATCATAGTTTTTACTAAAAACAAATGTTTTGGATTTACATGTAATCATTTGGCTGATGCCTTTCAGTATCTCAGCCGTCAATCAGCTCCTCCCATCGGCAAGAGCAGTAGGCGAGCATTGCCTCTAGAACCCCTCCTGCGGGAGCCTGGCAACAGAGAAAGTGCCAGTCATCGATGTAACTCAGTATACGGGTACCCTGAAGCCTCAGTGGAGCCAGAGACGCATCTAGAGCCTGACCGATAAAGGATTTTGAAGGCCGATACCGATACAAATATTTTTGGGTTTTAAAATCCGATATTCCGACATAGCGGCCGATATTTTATTTATTTATTTATTTATTTATTTTAAACTGGACATGATAGTCACAAATTTTGTCATGCTTATTTGAGTTAAGAGAACTTGATGGGGATGTTCTTTTAATTGTTATTCAAGCAATGTATGTCTCGTGACCAACTCAACGAATGTTGCCAACAGGGACAGTGTAGAGTGCCCTCTGGTGGACAGACTATACAACTCCAACACTCATGACATGGTTCAAGGATGTTTCGTCCGTTTTTATTTTATTTTTGAAATATTAATTTATCGGCCATTATAACTGCCGATACCGATAGTTTGGAAAATGCCTAATATCGGCCGATAATATCGGTCTGCCAATATATCGGTCTGGCTCTAGACGCATCCATGCACATACACATGAACATGCGAGGAGAGAGTGCTAGGCTGAACGGAAGAACCCGAAATTGGTATGCTTTTAGTCGGTTTCACCTAAAGATCCTACGCTTAAATTGGTATTTCTCTTAGCTATCACCTCTCTTAAGAGGATGGGAGATATCCAAGCCTTGGGAGTGACACCAGCTTGCTTGGAGTTTGGCAGAGAAAAGGCTTTTCTGGACCCGACTCCGGGCTATGGGCCTAAAGTCCCATCAAATACGGCTCGGTCTACAGTCCTGCAGGCGTTCCATCCTCTACCTCGTGTGTCGGCAGAAGAAGAGAAGCTTCATTTGCTCTGCCCCATCAGAGCTTTGACTATTTACCTTTAGAGGTCCTCTTCTTGGAGGAGGTCGGGACCAACTGTTAGTGTGTTTTGGGTCCCCTAAGAAGGGGCTCCGGGCATCCAAGCAAACCATTAGCAATTGGATTGTTCAGGTTATTACCTTGGCTTACAAGGTGCGCAATTTGCCTTCACCTCTGGCCATAAGGGCTCATTCTACTAGAGGCATGACCTCTAGGGCCCTGCTTTCAGGAGTGCCCCTCCAGGAGATCTTTGAGGCAGCTGCTTGGCCTACCCCACACACTTTTATCAGGTTTTATAGTCTGCACCTCCCTAGTACGCCTGGCGCACATGTGCTTTCATCCTAGCTGAGTGCCTGAATCAGTTTCACTCCGGGACAGGCCTATTTGGTGCATGGCATAGTGAGCATTCGTTCCACAAAGAGTCATTTTTCAATGACACAGTGTTGAGTTCCCTCGAAAAGGAACGTCTTGGGTTATGATTATAACCCTTGTTCCCTGAGAAGGGAACGAGACAGCGTCATCTTGCCATGCCCCTCGAGGCCTTGCGTCTTGCTTCAATGCGAGGCTGATGTGTGTGTGTGTGTGTGTGTGTGTGTGTGTGTGCTTCACTTTTATGCATCCGGTTCTGCCGTCACATGTTCCGTCACGACGCAACACCAATCAGGATTGGATTAGTTTCATTCATACTTCAGAGGCGCACGCTAAGGGAGCATCCCCAAAGAGTCGTTTTTCAACGATGCAGTGTGTCGGAACAATTGTTATCACCATAACCCGAGACGTTTAGTTTGGTTCGCACATTTAGATAAATCCCAGTATCTGAACGCCACTGTCTCCTCATCACAACTAACTCTTCCTGTAGATGTGTGCTGTGTTTTGGGCAGTGCACTGGGACTCTTTGAGGGACCTGTGAGGGTTTGAAGAGGGAGCTCGAGGACATTCAAACACTCACAGGTCCCTCAAACTACACAGCTGCATCTCAGCATCAGAACATCACAATAAACACATGGGACTGGGCTTTTCTCATGTGTGTGTATGACAAACATCCTGATGCTCATGGTTTCCACATCAACACCACTCCTTATGAGTAAATGTAATGCAACAGGGAACAGCTCTGCAAACTATGGAAGAACAAGTTTGCCTGATCGGTCTCACTATCTTATCAAACTTTTTTTTAATATATAGATATTTTTTTACATTTGCATACATATGTCTCTGTTAGTTTCTCTGTCAAATTCATGCTGCATAAATGTCTTGAGTTGTCCATGTCTGACACAAACAAATTTCCCTAAATGCGGACTGCCAAACTGCCACTGAGAATACAGAATATAATAGTGCAGGAACACACAGGGAGTAACAAAGAGCTTGTTCGATCTCCACTGTTGATGTGGATTGTTGAAGATTGACTTTATCCTGTTCACTGATAAAGTGGCAAAAAATATGCTGTGTTTTCACTGCCACAGCTCTGATGTGTATAGCTCATCATAAAACAAATTAAACTGCTTGTTAATGCTAAACTGGTCTGTGGTTATCCCATGTGACGTCTAAATTTCTGCTATGTAAAGTTTCAATTTTCTGTCTAAATTGCTGTGAAAGCAACTTGCTAGCCTTTTCACCATACTTTAAATTCTTGCTGTTTAGATCTCAGATAACTTATCCTCTGCCTTCATGGTTTGGTCATCTCTTGATCTATATCGTTTATCCTTTAGATTATCTGATTGACCCACTCTTTTTTTCCCTCATGCCTGCACTGTATGATATGATTTTGTCTTCAAAATCTCCCAGAAGTTACAGTGAGATAGTAATCTAGAGTTGAATGTCCTGTGGTGGTATATTGTTTTGAAAGCAGACAGTGATCACTACAAGAATCTATGACTATACCTGTGTATTCACATAATCTAAATAATGGTAACATTCTCTTGTCTGTAAAGATGAAGTCATGAGATATAGAAAAACGCCTTGATGTTGTGTTCTTATATTTCCATGAATCCAACATCCCGTAAGTTTGCAGAAACTCAATGAAAAATCGATCCGATTTAGTGCTGTTATTTTCTTGCCATTGCACTGCACTAAGCGCACAACGAAAGAAGTATAACAAAAATACTCTATTAAATCCACACAGAAAACTCATGAGATCGCAGGAGGCAACCATAAACACAACCATGTTGATCCCAGACCAAGGAACTAGGGAAACACAGGCCTTAAATACAGGAGGATTGTAATCAATATAAACTGAACAGACATGGGAACTAATTAATAACCAGAAACTAACTTGGAAACCCAGTCAGGCAGACAAGGAAACCAAAACACCATGATAATAAAACAGAACACACATTTCAATTGTATAAGAAAATGAGACACTAAAAAGTGTTCTCTCTTCATGTTGTGTTTACTAGTATTAAATCTATTGTGTTTTCTTTCTGTGTTATTTCATATTATGTTCAAATTAGCATAGCGTCGGCCCAGATCCGGCCCACATCTGGTACATGTAGATTCTCCACGGCTCAGATCTTTGTTGGTCCTGAAACAACATTCCAGTCAAACCAGAACCCTATACACAACTAACCCTCAAATTAGTGAACATTAGGTTGATAAAGATGGTGTTCAAGCCCCTAATGTTAACCCAAGCCTAAACAGTTGCCCTTAAACTAACCCTAAAACTTTATTGGTTGATAAGTATGTTTTTCCAGGACCAACAAGTTGATTCAGAAACTTCCTCCTTGGCGAAATCACCTTCACCTCTTCCTTGAAAGATGCAAATACCCCTTGCCACTGTAGCAGGTGGGCATTGAGAACATTTATTTTGTGATCCAATTTCATGAAAAATATTGGCCAATTGCCATGATCTTTTTTGGGTTTTCCTTATTCTTTCCATTCGCCATACTGATTTGAGTGGGGGGGTGACGCACTTTGCCTCTTCTCACTCTGCATGAGCATTCACAGCGGTAGGTCACGCATGTTAAGGCCGTATTTCTTGTTATACTTGTGTAATATTGACTTTAAGTCCCTTTGTAATGGACACGAATGTTTCAATTGTTTTCTTTCTTTAAGTGGCTTTCTTTACCAATTTGCCTTTGGCTAAGCCACGCCCTAGAATGAAGATTGACCAATCACAGCGCAGCCAAGAACGAGCTCCCACAGAGGTCCGACACTTTTTCCACAGCGCTCCATTGACTTTCAATACATGCGTCTCATATTGTTGCTCTCGACAGGCTATTACAATAAACGAGAGAGAATTTACAACAGGGAATAGCAGCCTAACCTTTTCATGAATTTGCCTTTCAAATAGGCTTAGACTACAACAAGAGACTGTATTCTCTGACGAGAGGAATGATTCAGAGAGATTCAGGATTGTTGTCAGACTAGATGTGTGTGGGCAGGTACAGTGTGTCCTTTATATACCATCATGTCTTTGTTTTGTTTATTATCACCAGTTACATCCTCATTTTGATCCACAGAGGAATTTATGCAAATTTAAAAAAGAATATTAAAAAAAGTTTGATAACATATTGAGACAGAACAGGCAAAAAAAGTGATTTGCTTTATTGTATTAATGTTATCAAGGTGAAATTCACACACTCATTCAGTTTGATTGTTCTTCAATAGTTTGCAGAGCTGTGACCTGATGCCAGTATCTGATTACATAAAGAGTGGTATTGATCAGGATGTTTGTCATAGACACACATGAGAAAAGAGTTTACCATATCTAGAGTTTACCATATCACATGAGAAAAGAGTTTATGACCAAATCTGCCCTATCACAATAAACTCATGACCAGAGTTTATTGTGATGGGGCAGATATGGTCGTATTTGCGCACTCTCATCAGGATCCAGCTCTGTTCTTTATTAAGACTTTTTATTAGGACTCAACGGCAGCAGGAATATAAGAAATCATTCAGAAAAATGTTTTAAGTGACGCAGGTGGGGTAAAGGCTGCTACTGTTTATGACGTACAGAAAGTCTTTCACTATTCAAAACTTTTCCTCACTAGTTCAACCTGTTAAACAAGCAACCAGTGATCCAGATCTCACTATATTCAAATAGGCCAGGTTATGTTTCTATTTAAATCTAATGAAATAATGATCACTATTAGCACTGAAAAACATGAGACCATTTAATCAAACTTTGACTCTGTCATTATTACTAGTGTCATGATCGACTGCTTACAGGAGCTTGCAGTGCTGATAAACAAAGGTGAACATCTGAATTACTCTGTTCTCATAACTCACGTCAAATTAATGTCACATGAATAGTATAATTAAGAAATATATTCAGTGTCAGGACTCAGAGCACAAAAAACAGAGCTAAAAACTTTCCCTGATGAGTTTCTGAGAGAAATATCTCCAACAACAATTGCTGACAAAACAAGCTGACTGTTTCTATGTATTTAAGAACCAGACTGATCACTATGAGAACAGGCTTCAATTAGCATTATGTTAATAACAAAAACACAATACAGCAATGCTGTAATACACACACACACACACACACACACACACACACACACACAAAACATGTCAACAACATACACAAATATAAAGGGGATTTTAAGTAGCCAATAATGTAAGCTGGAGACACAGAGTCAGCAAATATTGTGTGTGATATAATATTCCCAGCAGAATTTACCAGAGAAAACAGGATTCAGACTATAAACAAAACTGAAACTTTGGTGAGAGTAAAAACTTCTCCATCAAACTCAGCAATCTTCAATACGCTGATGTAGGAAAATCACAAACTCATCTGAACTTCAGACACAGCTGATCATCAGTGATGTGTGACAGTGTGTAATTTGCGTGTTAAGATTTTGCTTAAAAACCCTTTGTGTTCTAAAGTTACAGAGATTGCGTAAATCTTTAGTATTCTCAGGTATATTCTCGTGGTTTCTACTGGGAAAAACACACCGCAAGGATTCTCTGAAAATATAGTTTGAATTCCAAATAAAAGTCTCCTCGTCATATCCAGCCTACACGTTGTAGACACTGAATACACAGTCTATTTAAAGGTTTACTATGAAAAAAGTTGTTCACCTGAGCTGTTATTATAGACTTTTCTGAGAAAATATTACTTTGATGAAGTCATTCTTTGTTATAAGCATATATAACAGAATATAGTGCAGGTTATGCTCAGAACTAAATATATAGAATTACAGTGAAGAGGAAGGAGTCGTTCAGTGTTTTTGTGTTGTGTGGCGCCCTCTACTGGATAAACACCTGAACCTGATCTTTAAAAAATACTGTACACAGTGATTCTGTATTTGGATACTCAAGTCACACTTTAAAATGTCATTATACAACAAAATATTAAACCAGATATCATTTATTTTAAAGAAATGTGTACAAGTGTACAGCATCATTGATTCAAAAACAACCCAAACAGGAAAGAACTTTCCTGCTAAGTTTATGCTGTGGTCCCTTGCCATATCTTTACTTTAATGTACAAGCTAGCATTAGCGCTAGTGGATTCCATCAGATTCCATCATTGGGATAGTCAACCTCTTCTTTCCTCTCTCGTTCTCGATTGCTCTGAATCTGCCGGATCTTTTGTCTGGACTCGATCCCTAAACTCTCAAACAGCCGTGCCATGAAGGCCAGGCCCTCACGTTTAATATAGGACTTTCCAGCAAATGTGTAAAGAACAGGATTTATAGAGCTGCTGATGAAGGTGAAAGTGGAGGTGAAACCCCGGAAAGATGTCCAGATTTGATTGAGTCTGTGAGGATGAGGATAAATTAGATATTAAATTAAAACACAATTAAAGGAACCAGAATGGCTTTTCCTTCTGTGAATGAATTTAGGCCCTACCTAGTATTAAGGTGTATTTTGGTCAATCGGATCACAAGAAGATGCTAAATATGTGTAAACAAGGTCTAAAATGTTTGGAGCTTGTCCACTTTCAACCACTTCAAGAGGTAGTTGTAGATTGTTTTCATAGTATAACTAAATAGTGTTTCGAATAGTGTACAAAACTATCAAAAAGTCTATACTCTCCGCCTACTGACCTAATGCGTAAACATTATGGGAAGCGCACTAGTCTGGCGGGTTTTACATTTTTCTGGCTGAAGACCCAAGTTTGGTTTGAAAACAAAAAACGAGAAATTTTCTTTAACCATTCCTGATTTCTGACATACACTCTATTCAACGTGGTCTTGCGGCTGTCAAAGCAGAAACGTAAGCTGCTGCTCTCCCTATACGTTTTCCTTCGTCTCCTTTCGCGTTCTTGCACAAGCTTATTTTGTCCATGATCGCAAGATCTAAAAACAAAAACATACATTTACCAAATCATTGTCCCTTTTATCGAATAAATCAGGACAGAAGTGGTTGAAAGTGGACAAAATAGACAGATTAAAACACCAGGTGTAAAGGGGAATGTGTCTCGCTCGTCTACATGACCAGGTGAAAACGGCATTAGTTTCAGTAACTCGCCTGGCTTTTGCAGGGGAATCTTCTGGGAGAAAAGCAACAGCCACCTGTTCAGGTAAAAAAAAAACAATGAGATTGATTTCTTTAAAACCTGGAGTTTTCAAACTCTTTGAAGCCATGGACCCTTTGAGGGGTTTTGTTACACACACCTCCACCATATTCATGATATGGAATGGGAGCCAGTTCAGGCCGAAGGTGATGACAATCACCAGGATGAGTTTCTCACTTCGGATGTGCCTACGAAACCTGGTCTTGCGAATTCTTCGTAGGATACACACGTAGCTGCTTATGATCAGTCCATACGGCATCATGAAACCCAACAGAATTTCAAAACAGTGCTGCAGTATCGCCTAAAACAGAGTGAGGTCACATCATGTGTAGAATCATTTAACATGATTTCCTTTCAGAGATAGATTTTGTCTGTCCATTCTATAAAGATCTTATTATATTAGGACTATGTGTGACATAGATTGACATTGATTTATGTCTTTTGACTGGGAAAATATGGAGTTTCGTACCTTTCATACCTTATATGACACAGAAACTATTAAATTATTAAATTAGTAGCGTTACTACTTAGTGATGTTGTACTCAAGTCTGGTTTCTCCTTTCTGCTTTCTCGGACTCGTCTTGGATTTGTTCCTTCAAAGACTTGGTCTTGACTCGGACTTGGCATAGACGTTCTCGTCCCCATCACTAACAACTGCTCTAAACAATTCCCAATCTAGCTTAGTCTGTAGGCCTAAATGTTGATTATTAACTGGGGTGATATTAAATCATGAAAATCAAAACTGATATGTCGGGACAAAATCTCGACTCGGACTTGCTTCCTCAAAGACTAGTCTTGACTCGGACTCGACTGTATTTGAAAACCAATGGACTCGGTCTCGACACAGACTCGACCCTTCAAAGACTCGGTCTTGACTCGGACTCGACTGTATTTGAAAACCAATGGACTCAGTCTCGACTCGGACTCGACCCTTCAAATACTCGGTCTTGACTCGGACTCGACTGTTTTTGAAAACCAACGACTCGGTCTCGATTCGGACTCGACCCTTCAAAGACTCTGTCTTGACTCGGACTTGACTGTATTTGAAAACCAATGGACTCAGTCTTGACTCGGACTCGACTGTATTTGAAAACCAACGGACTCAGTCTTGACTCGGACTCGACCCTTCAAAGACTCGGTCTTGACTCGGACTCGACTGTTTTTGAAAACCAACGACTCGGACTCGACCCTTCAAAGACTCTGTCTTGACTCTGACTCGACTGTATTTGAAAACCAACGAACTCAGTCTCGACTCAGACTCGACCCTTCAAAGACTCGGTCTTGACTAGGACTCGACTGTATTTGAAAACCAACGGACTCGTCTCAACTCAGACTCGACCCTTCAAAGACTCGTACTCGACTGTATTTGAAAACCAACGGACTCCGTCTTGACTCGGACTCGACCCTTCAAAGACTCGGTCTTGACTCGGACTCGATTGTATTTGAAAACCAACAGACTCGGTTTCGACCCTTCAAAGACTCGGTCTTGACTCGGACTGGACTGTATTTGAAAACCAACGGACTCAGTCTCGACTCGGACTCGACCCTTCAAAGACTCGTACTCGACTGTATATGAAAACCAACAGACTCGTCTCGACTCGGACTCGACCCTTCAAAGACTCGGCCTTGACTCGGACTCGACTGTATTTGAAAACCAACGGACTCTGTCTTGATTCGGACTCGACCCTTCAAAGACTCGGTCTTGACTTGGACTCGGCATAGGTGATCTCGTCCCCATCACTCATTACTCCTTTTATAGTTACATGCTAATGTGTACCGACAGTTACTGTGATTTTAAATTTTTGCTATTTACTATTTATCATTAATCATTGAAAAAAATCAGGCAATTGTAACTTACATCTCGTGGCTGTGAATGTTTACAAGCACATGCTACAATATTTGGCTCTTGCTCACTCCTGAAAGTGGTCCAGAAAACCGAATTAGGTACTGACATACAGAGAGCAAGAATCCAAAGTGCCACCAACACCCGAATGATCACCCTCCGGTCTGACAGGACACCAGCATGTTTCTTCCACACGACAGTCACCATCCTGTACAGACTCATCAGCGTTATCAAAAATATTGAAGCGTACATGTTGGCACTGCAGAGGTACAACAGAATCTTGCAAAGTGGAAGGGTAAAAATCCAGGTGTGTTTTACAAAATAAACAATGAAAAAGGGTATTAAAAGCATCACAAATCCATCCGCGCAGGCCATGTTTAGAATCAGGAGGGTGGTGATGGAACGGTGGCGGGTTCGAGTCAGGATGCTCCAGATGATCAATAGGTTTCCAGAGATGCCAATCGGTAAGAAAAGGCACAGAATCAGAGCCCCTGTGATCCTTCCAGCAGCAGTACTCATGTCTATGTCAGTAACATTGTTCTTTTCAGAGTTGGTGGTGTTGAAGAGAAGGCGGCCGCGGATTGACATGTTATGAGATGAACTGCAAGAGGAGCGAGGTACCTTGGAGAACAACTCTCATAAGAGTGACTCCCGACTTCAAAATTGCACTTGCAGTAACATCAATAGATGCCAAACTATGTATTGTGCATTAGTGCAGGTATACATTGATAGCTTTCCAGATGAATTACCAAAGCAAATTTTATCAAAGTGCATAGACTGCTTAATGTGATCGTTATCTGAACTTGTTTCCTGTTCGACTACATGCCTGTCATAGCAAACAAATTCAGTGCCATCTGTTAAAGATCCCCTGACCTGTTACACAGACAGCAAACAAGCAATTTTTTTACAACATTCACTATTAGAGAAAATGTTGAAAAATTGCATTTTAGGAGTACACCAGCTTATCACTGGGGTGGTAAGCTCAAGGGAACACCTTTGAACCTTATCCTCCCGTAAAGGGTGCATATTCTCCGTCTACACTGGATGTGACTGTTGTCACGTCACGCTGCCACAGCTTGGGGCTGTCTACACTAAATGTGACAAAGCGACCATTGCAGATTTATTTGTCCTTTGTGCCAGCGCGAACACTTTTGGAGTGCATCAGAAAGAGAACATGGCATCAGTTTACTGTCGCCCCACGCAACATCCAGTGTAGACAGCATCACACATTATAATGGGTTCTATGTCTTTAGTTGCGCTGAACAAAATGTTAAAATTGAAGTTTCTGTAACTCAAATATTAGAGCATGGTGCTAGCAACACCAAGCCATGACCCCTGCTCAAATGCCCAGGGAATACTACCACCCATTCTCCAAACTGCAGGACCTTTGTAGGGTCGTAGGGATTATACAGTAATGTAATGTTAAGTCAACGGCATGAAAAGCGTGACAATGACAATGAACACGCTGAAAAGCGATTATGCGTGTTAAAGGGATACTCCACTTTTTTTTTGGAAACAGGCTCATTTTACAACTCCCCCAGAGTTAAACAGTTGAGTTTTACTGTTTTCGAATGAATTCAGCCGATTTTCTGATATTTAGAAGAATATCAGTAACCAGACAGTTTCTGGTCTCATTGACTTCCATAGTATTTTTTTCCTACTATGGAAGTCAATGAGACCAGAAACTGTAATAGCACGCCAAAAATGGAGATACGAATTGGCGTTTCATATACGCCATTTCATGAGATCAGTCTGTTCAGGGACACATGTGTCTCGCAGATTTAAACCCAGGTCTCTCACACCAAAGGCATGTTTCGTATCCACTGCACCATCACCACCCCAAGCAATAATAGGTTAAACAGGTTGAAGCAAATGATAATACAATTTTTATTTTTGGGTGAACTAACGCTTTAAACTTTGAAAGAGATTTAACTTAATGTTTATATATATATATATATATATATATATATATATGTAACCTGTAAGGTGGTAGCATTTTTACTTGACTCTTGGTATAAATGGCCAAAATGTGGTTAGAGTTCAGTCTGACTTCCTGTAAGTGCTGTGGGTTTGTCGTGTGAAGGACAGCAACACGAGAGTCTTGCAGCTTTTTTTCCAGTGTTTTTACGTGTCACTAAGCATTTCACATGCTTTGAAAAATCTAATAAATATCATCACATTATATGTTGTCCATAATTATGTTGGACATTTCAGAGTGTTTGCTTGTTTGTGCACACATCACTTTTCTTTTATACACACTTTGCTTCACTAAGATGAATTTAATACAGTTGTTCAACATGACGTTTATTGCATCTCACTAAAGATAATATACATTAAATCTGTACACGCAAAACTTTTGCTCGTCTTAGCAGAAGTGTGAAGCAGTGTGGTTTAGCTCAAATAATCTTCAGTTCCTCCGAGTTGGTCACTTGACAATAAATGACACATGTGATCTCATGGTTTTCTAGACAGGTGGTTTACCCTTAAGCAGAGTTCTCATTTGCTTTAGACATATCGCCATCATGATTTTTGTAAGCTCCAGTGGAAAAAGGATGGTAGTACAGTGGAAAAAATGACTGAGTTTGTCTGAACTCTGAGGCCAACCACACTGCCTACGTTTGTTCTGCAGAGAGGAGTTTGTCTAGCCATCGTCTAGTTGGTGGATGTTTTCGATTTTCATAAAAAACAAGGAAGAGCTCCCTTTTTATATATCTTTTTATTCATTATACAGGTAAGCATATGCCATGAATTTTTATATTTAAAACAAAGGTGACCTGCTGATATAAGGTCAGGTACAATTTTGTCTTTTTATTATTTGGGCTGGAGCAGAAAAGCACCGGTTCTGTTCAAAATCTTCACATATTGAGGAAAAGACCACCTCAGTATACTGAAAGAGCAACAAGGTATTAGCAGTTATAAATGTGTGTGTTTCATCTATTTTATGATCCAAACAGTGATAAAGAATAAAATAAACAAAAAGTATATAAATGTACATGGAAAAAGATGGTTTCGCATAATTTACCACTGTCTTTGTCTCTTGAAGTTGTTCAAAAGGCATGGAACGAGTCCGTTGTAAATCCGCCTCTTGATGTTTTACATTTTTTCCAGAGTAGCAACATACACTAGCTACAAGAGAGGCGAATTATGGTCATATTTTAGCAATAGATTCAATCAAATATAATTCAATTAATTCCATTAATGAACTCACCAATGACGACAATGACCAGAAGACCATGCATCAGGCCAGATATGAGGATAATAATTCCCCATGGTCTTTGGATCTGCTCAGTATAATTCACTACAGTGTGATTCTGCTCAACTGTGTTGTTCTGGCACTCAATTAATTGAGTTGGTTCTGTAAAAAATAGCCTTCCATTTAAATAACCAAAGCACCAAACATCCATATGTTCTGATCACGGCAGCTCACTCACCAATGATGTGTAGTTTGGTGCCGTTGCTGAACTTTGGAGGTGCTTCAGTGGTCATGCAGTAATAAATGCCTAACTCATCAACAGTGACATTTTTTATGAATAGAGAATATTTAGGTTGCACTGTGTATTTGGGTCTGAATCCTATATCGTAGTAAAAAGGAGTTGGAGAAGTTGAAAATATCCGTAATATCACAACTGGGCGATTTGGTGGCTTTAGCACCATCCAATAAATCTCTTTTTCACCAAGATCACAGTTTATAGTCACATTTTGTCCCAGTTTTATAAGTTCTGTTTCTACAGCTTGACACCATACTAGCAGACCTGTTAGATCAAAATAAAATCAAATAAATGTTGATCAAGTATAATAAATATATCAAGATATACAAAAAATTGCACTTACAAATAAGATGCTGTATGATCTTTGCGTCGGTTCCACAACTAAAACGCATTACCTGATGAAATAGTGTTGCTTTCACAAAGGCTTTAGGTTGGAACTGAACTTTTCGAGCTTTGAAACCAACAGAGGGTGGAGTCATTTTATATGGGCGGAAGTCACACAGAGGCCACATTCAACATAGTCTATCTATACTTGTTTAACACCTCACGTAAGTGACATTGATTACAGAACAGAACAAAAGCTCTTGTCAAATATTGCCTGAAGCTTGATCTAAACATTAATATTGATGTGCAAACCAAAAATAAAAGACCACTGACCCAAGATCTCAATAAATAGGATATCTAAATGAAATCAAATTAAATTAGACATATTCTGATTTTGATTAACATTTATCTTGAAAAGTAGGCTACACTGATATTGTGCAGTACACTGCTGTAGACAAACCAATGGAAGTGGTGACTTTATAATGTGGCATTTCCATTTTATTTTACCACAGGAACTGAACTTGGCACACTTCTCTTTAGACACCAACTTTCGCTAACGTGAGTCGTGACGTATGGATCTCAATCATGCTGTGTTGCCAGGACGGCTGCTTCTGATAGGCTTGTAACGTTAGTTAGAGCTGCGTTCCTCTCATGTGATTGGTAGGTGAAATCAATTTACTCGAAAATATTAAACCACATGCAAGTTCCTAATTTTTTTTATTTAGATTTTTTTTCCACACAGCCTCACGCCGGAGATCCGGCACGGTGCCGGAATGCTTTAAGCCCTGAGTCCAGGTAAAGGTCAGTGAAAGTGTAATGGTTATCAGCTGGAGTGCCCCTGAGAGCCACCTGAGGGCACTCCATATCAGACTATCATTGTTCACTCACAACTACATTTCCCATAATTCACTGCCCAGACTCATCATCCATGATTATCACATTCACCTGTCTCATTATATTGTTTAGTTCACCCCATATTTAAGCCTGATTCACCTCATCATTCCCTGTGGAGTCTTGTACGTTATTCTACTGCATTTATGAGCGTTTCCTTTGTTTTTTGTTTCTTTATTCCTGGTTTTAGATTTCTGCTCGTGTCCTGGTTTTCCCGTTCCTGCCTCACCCTCTGGATTTGTCTGTTTGTTTGGATTGCCTGCCTTTGTTTGACCTTTGCCTTGATTCTGATCATAATTTGGATTAACTTTAATAAACTGCATTTGGATCCTCAACTTTCCTGTCTTTGAGCAGTTCATAACAGAAAGTGATTTTGTGACTCTTTGGCACCACAAGGTGTCGTTCAGTTGCAGAACACAAGCTTTTGGAGGACACATAGATCTGAAGCAGGAGTTTAGGTCTTGCTGCAGCATCTGGATCAGATGCAGAGGTTGGACTGATGCTGGAAGAGCTGGCAAGAGAGCACTACAATAGTCCAGTCTGGATAGAAAAATAGCATAATATAGGCTACAGTATAAAACAAACTATTCTTTGCTACTTTTAGGGCAATCATATGGAATCAGAAGACTCGTTCATTACAATTTATTTAAGTTACTTCATCCCATGTGTGGATGGCAAGTGTTTTTCACCCTTTACGCAATTTTACTGTAAATGTTCGTTTCTTAACCCTTTTATGCATAGAGGTCACTAGTGGACAGCTATTATCTACCGTGGACCTAGGTGCATCATCCTATGCATTGCAACCAAGTTGCAAGCCGTAGTCTGGGTTTTCCCAGGCTAGCCCCTTTTCTTCTATCAGACTCCCGAAGGGGGAAAAAAAATATTGTAGCATTAAGCAATATCTAATGAGTCATATCACAGTTACATTTTCTAAGTATTGATTTTAGATCTGATTAATCGTCTGTCCACTATAGAGGACCTCATGCATAAATGGCTACATTCCAGCTACAATTCATACTTATACTGAGTGCTGTTTTTGAAAATAACCAGCATTTTGTGACTGTAAATAAATGTATTTGTGTTAGAATGTAAGTTTCATTGACATCAAAAAAAAGTCATGTAATTACATAATGTATCTGACCTGTAATGCATTACTATACTCATTTGATCAAAAAAAGTAATCGAATAATGTAATGCACATTAGGGCTACTTGGCTAGGCTACTTGTTAGATCAAAAATTATTCTGATTACGTAATGCATGTTGCTTGTAATGCATTACTTTACTTGTTAGATCAAACCGTAATCTGATAACGTAATGCAGGTTTCTTTTAATGCTTTTCTTTACTCGTAATATCAAAACATAATCTGATTACATAATGCAAATTACTTGTAATTAATTACTTTATTTGTTAAAAAATCAATTAAATCTTGTTTTTCATGCCCTAATGGCACTAAACACACACATAGGAAAAAAAATCCTGACTGCAGGTTATTATAATTTATGCATACAAGGGTTGTTAAACAAACGATTGCTTTACAGGTGCGACAGCAAAAATGACTGTCCACTGGTCCAGGTGTGTTTACTTTGTGCATTGTGTGTGTGTGTGTGTGTGTGTGTGTGTGTGTGTGTGTGTGTGTGTGTGTGTGTGTGTTCACTACTCACTTCTCCTAATCTGTATGCAAATGAATGAAAGGGGAGGAGCTGTCTGACTGTTTCAGTGGAAATGACCTCAACACATTGAATAGTGCTGTGCATTTCAAGGCAGTGGGCCTTTAAACATTTCAAAACAGTATGATGAGGAAGCCTGGTTTGATGAGATCACAAATTTGCCATTCTAAACTTTTGGATTTCCATGTTTTGCATTTCCCTTTGTCTTTGTCATTTCCATAGTTTGCATTTCCCCATGTCTTTGTGTCAATGAACTTTTCTTTACATTTCATGTCATGTTAAAGCAGTATTTAATTTGAGATTCAAGCTTCGACTTATTCTGAGCTATCTTATCAAGGAAGTCTTAGAGTTTTTGTGTTTGTTTTAAAGATCCTTTCCTCTAGGCCTATTGCACACATTGCTTTAAAGCTTATTCTTCAAATAAAGGGCTGGTGTCCCTCTTTCATATTCATCCAGGTATTTCAGCTGAACTGTTTTTATTCGGGTCATATTTTATTAAAACAACACCGATGACAGATCACACAGTATCCTACCAAGTACTTGTCATTTTAAAATGTAAACTGGTATGGCTTGTCGTTCCTGTAATAGTTAAAATTAGTTTATCAGGTGGATTCTGCTCCTCCCATCACGACTATAAGCTCTTCATTACCTCATCACCTGTGTAGTCTACAGACTCTGGAGAGAGAAGGCATCTCTTTAACAGAGAGAAGATGAGAAAAAAGGCAGGTCACTGTCAAACTAATCTTTTTAGATTGTGGCAAAGGCAAATGTTAATTACCTTAAGGTAAGTCACGTCTCATCTACTTTCATTGTCTTGGCAGAGAGCAGCAACTCATTTATTTATTTAGATTTATTCTGTATTTATCTGCAGATTATACATTTTATAGGCAAATTCAAACCGAAAAAAAAAAATAATAATAATAATGATGAGTTCTAATGTATATATTACTACATTCTCTTTACTATTTTTAAACCTTTGCAGGTCACTATGAGGAACTTCAAGACACTCCCAAAATGGAATCTTACCAATTGAATTCCTGTGATGCTTTTCTTTTTACTGAAAGACAAGTCGCAAAGAAAGAATGTGGCATTTCAAGGCAAGATTTCGTATGAGGAAAAGAACTACATGAAACTGTAGTTTTAATATTTTCCCCTCAAAGTCAACTCAAGAATCAAGAAGGATTTATTCCATCTTCAGGAAGCAAGCACTTTTCTTCATCTAAGGTGTGTCTTGTATTATATTTGCGCAGTCTTATTCAGTAATAGTACCTGTCCTAAAACTATAGCCATGAAAACTAACCAGGTAAGACTTTTTGTTTATAAATAAATAAATACATTCTGAGTAGTCAAATTCGTAACCTCTTGGGTTCAAATACGGTTTGGGGAGCATTGCGCACATGATAAGGGAACATCCTAAAAACAATACAAAAATTAAAAAAAAAAATAAAAAAATAAAATAAACAATAGGGTATTAATGGTAAATCAAATATATTTCTAGCTAGTCCAAAAATATAAAATTAGCCGATACTTTTATGTTAAGTCACCGGAAACCGCCACATTGCATATACGCATGCGGATCCGCCATGACACATTCACTGGCACGTTGGCGATCGCACGTGGCTCTGTAGCTCTGAAAGTTGCTTTGATTTAGTATTAGATTTACATTTTTATAAAAATTTTTGGCCAATTACAATATAAAACCAAAAAACAATGGAACACAGGTATGTTTTAGTGAATTTTGAGATGTTTGAAATGCAATGTTTTTAAAAATATACATTTTTAACCATAAATAGCACAAATTATATTCATTACAGATACATATGAGATTAATATATTAAGTGCAAGATAGTTACATCAGTTTTTGGAAAGTATTTCAGGTTTTATGTGGTTGTTTGGTCTCTAGCGTAACGTTAGGCTAAAGACAGATCGGCATAATTAGCAGTGTGGATCAAATAAATTGCTACTTGTACTATGCTTTCACTAATTCATTCTAATTAGTAGATTTTAAGTAAAAAGCTCAAATTGGGTCTTTAACTTGCTTTATTCAAACTACAGTGCTAGACAAGTGTTGTGGAAATATTAATCATTAGTGAAGATTAGGTTGTCCGAGCCATGTGTTTCCATTGAACCTATTCCATGAGTAAAATATAATTTCTACGTGGTTGTGGGTGATGTTTTAGGAACATATGGGACAGGACCTCTGACCTTAGGGACGTCCAGTTTTGGCCGGTTTATTTCAGCACCAGTTTGTGTCGGATACTCCAGGCTCATTTTACAACTCCCCCAGAGTTACTGTCTGGTTACTGATATTCTTCTAAATATGAGAACATCGGCTAAATGGATTTGAAAACGGTAAAACTCAACTGTTTAACTCTGGGGGAGTTGTAAAATGAGCCTATTTCCAAAAAGAGTGGAGTATCCCTTTAAGAGACTAAACAGCAGCATCTTGGTGGGTGAAAGGTACAGTGTGTGAAGAGGAACCTCATGTCTCCATGAAGGCGTCTCGCTCACTCCACATTGATCAATCTTTGATCAAAACACAAAGAGATATATAGCTTTTAGTCACAGAAGAGTGTTACTGAATGGAGAGATGGAGAGCAATGATTGTGAATATTGGAGAGAAGGTGTGTGAGAAGATATTTCTCAAATGTAAAGGCAAAAGTAAGTTGGCACGCTGTTGATATGTTTTATCCTCTGTTTCTACAGTTGGTCCATCATTATCTCAGTGTTTCTGCTGTATATCACAGGTGAGAGAATACACATTTGAAATGAACCTCCATCATGCAGAAGCCAAACAGTGTTTGCTTTTTTTTTTTTTTTTAGGTTCCTTCTCTTCTTCAGAGGTCACAGTTTCAGGTTTTATTGGAGACTCGGTTATCTTGCCATGTTCTATCCCTGAAAGTGAGCTTCAAGGTGCTGCTGTACACTGGAGAGACGATCAAGGCAACAAAGTGTTTGACATATTTGTCATCACAACAGCTAAAGACCAAGATGAAAAGTACAAGAACAGAGTTAAAACATTCCCTGATGAGCAAAAGAAAGGCAATGTCTCCATCAGATTTACCAGTCTTCAAAAAACTGATGAAGGGATGACGTTCATCTGTATCGTCACAAGTAAACAATATCAAAATGAAACACACATAAAGGTTCATGTCAAAGGTGTGTATAATCTAAAGATTTTCATTGGAAAAACTGAAATTCTCAATTAAGTTATTGACTGGTAAAGCTAATGTCACACACTTTAACGCTGTTGTTTTGTCTCACAGATAAACCAGAAGGAAGAGGGAACCGTGGGGGACTACATGGAGAACTGACATTAATTTTGTCTTTGTTTATCAGTTTTTCCTCCTTGTATTTGTGCGTGTAGAGTTCAGATTAGAGTTCAATCAGCATGTTGAAAATAGTTCAGCTGAGTTACTCTATTAAGTACATTTTCAAGTATCTGCACATTAAGTATTGTTGTCACCCTGAATACCTTTTTACATCCATTCCAGAAAGTAACATGGTCCTCTGTATTTTAACTGAACTGATAGTGTTAAAGGTGAATGAAGTAACTGTTAAAGGCACTGCCTTCTCTCGTGACTCCCTCTACATGTATAAGCAAGGAAAGGAACCTAAATTACTTGACATATATCATAATACTGATTTCATTTTATCAAGCACAACTTGCCGTTCATCAATGTTTGTTGTCATTGTCATTTCTGTCAGTGTGTGAAAATAAAACCATATAATATTAACCCTATAATAAACTGGACAATCTTTATTGTATCGGTAAATTACATATTACGTATTTCCTTTGGGACCATTTGGGATGGAATAATAAGCAATATAGCTGTGTTTTAGCAGTGACGATATCATAAAGGTAAACTATATATAATGCAAAAAATAAACAAACTTGTAAACCAAAAAAAAATAAAAAAAATAATAGGGGTAATGCCCATGAATTATAAACTTATCATGATGTTCTTTAAAATTATCACTTACGTACAATATTATGATTTCTGATTAAGGTGAATTAATTTTACATTGCAAATTCAATTAAAGTGACACTATGTTTGTCAAAAAATACCATATAGCACTATATCAAGTAGTGATACATGATCCATACATATATAGAAGGTGCACCAAGATACGAGTAGTAGTTTTCTACAAATACATTAAAATGTATAATAACATGTCAGTGGCTTAGAAAAAAATATAAGATCAGCCGCCATATTGGACCATTTCTGTAGTGGAACATGCAGACTGATGGAGGATGATACTGCAAGTGGAAGAAGAAACGATGACATAAGGAGGATGGCTCGTTTATTTCTGAACACAAGACATTCAAGAGTTACAGAACTGATACTCTAAATAAATGCAGGTTTTACATGGTACCATCAAAACGTGCCTAATATTGTGACATCACCTATTTCAGATCAACCCTCCTCTAAGTGGAATGGAAAACACAACAAACTAATTGGTCTCTTTACATGTCACTAAGACGGCCTCTTCTGATAAAACTGTCAGTTCTTGGTCCCACCTTTAGTTTTAATGGAAATAGTAGTCACAATGCAGTTCATTTAGTCAAAACTAGTAAAAAAAAAAACAAAAAAAAAAAACAACAACACCAACAGACAGAAGATACCAGAACTCATTCACTTGCACTTATTGCAGGCAGCACTGCTTATGTTTTGACAGGTTTACAGGACAAATTTTTGAATAAGTTAAATTATATACATCAAATCAATTAAATAGGTGGAATGAATTAGCTTATTTTAAATAAATAAATAAATAAATAAATATAGCTATAGTGCAACAAAATTGATATAAACAGTAGTTTAAATAATTTAGTAAACTCAACTATATCGCACAACAAAAGCACTGCATCACAAATCTTCTATTATTGAAAAACGGAAACGATAGACCTCGTCAGGTTAGATGCCATGTTTTGATTTTGTGAATGAACACTGTTAAGTGTTAATTATTGCTAAACATTTATTGGTTGTCCACTGGAAATGTTCCCTGAAAGCCACATTTCTAGCTGAATGGCGGATCTAAAGTGCAGTCCAGTGAACAGACTGTGTTTATAGCATCTGCCCAGAGTAAGATCTGTAACATGTCGGATATGTCGCGTGTGCGTCTAAATGTTAACAAAATTGCATCTTGATGAACTGCTGAACATAAAAATGTAATTTTGTGGTTCTTACTCTGGTCCAGCAGGAAACAGGTTTCGTTTCCAGGTTTGACTATAGTCATATATTGCAAAGTAAAAGCTCAGCTTAGCAAGCACACACTGCTTAACTACCCATAATCACCACACACAACCAGAGCAGAATAGTCCCAGCAAAGAGAGGATTCAACAGAGAGACAAGCCTCTCCGCTTTGGATTCAATGCCACGGTTAAAGCCAGGCTTCTCTTGGATTCCCCTTGATTTTTCTAAAATACAAAAAACAATGAAAAAACAATGAAAAAACAGTAGCATGTAGGCTAGTACTGACTCATTAGTGAATGCACTAAAACCCCAGAGGAGAAGTGTGTAAAGTCTGTGCTGAAAGCAACAACACCAAACGAAAGTGATCATTTCCAAACAAAACAAAAATCCAAAAATTATCGGAAGGTACACAGACCAACAGGTTATTTTGCTTTAGAATTTATTTAGTCAGATTTGATATTTTGTTTTAGAAGCAGTTATTTTGTTTGTCAGACTGTTTTTTTTTTGATATTTTGTCAAATTTGTTTATTTTTTGTTATATTAATTTGTTTTTTAGTTTATAGTCTGTTATTTATTTATTTATTTTACATTTTGTTTGCCAAACTGCTTATTTTGTTTTAGAAGTAGTTATTTTGTTTGTCAGACTGTTTTTGGTTTCGTTTGATTTTTCATCAAATTTGTTTATATATTTTTTGTTATATTAATTTATTTAGTTTATAGTCTGTTATTTATTTATTTTACATTTTGTTTGCCAAACTGGTTATTTTGTTTTAGAATTTATTTAGTCAGATTTGATATTTTGTTTTAGAAGTATTTAAGTTATTTTGTTTGTCAGAACGTTTTTTTTTTTTTTTTGGTTTGTTTGTTTTGTTTGATTAGAAATTGTTATTTTGTTCGTCAGAGTGTTTTTTTTTTGTTTTTTTTTTGTCAAATAGATTTTTTTGTTGTATTAATTTGTTATTTTGTTTATAGTCAGTTATTTATTTATTTATTTTTTTTGCCAAACTGGTAATTTTGTTTTAGAATGCATTTTGTCAGATTTGATTTCTTTTAAAAGTAGTTACTTTGTTTGTCAGACTGTTTTTTGTTTTGTTAGATTTTTTTTGTCAAATTTGTTTATTTTTGTTATATTCATTTGTTATTTATTTTATAGTCTGTTATTTATTTATTTATTGCCATCTGGTTATTTTGTTTCAGAATGTATTTTGTCAGATTTGATATTTTGTTTCAGAAGTTGTTATTTTGTTTGTCAGACTGCTTATTTATTTATTTATTTTTTGTCAAATGTGTTATTTTTTATATTAGTTATTTATTTGGTTTTTAGATAATTTATCTGATAATTTTTTTTTAGAATGTACAATAGGCCTATAGTGTCAGACTGGTTATTTTGTTTGTCAAATCAGGTTTTTTTTTGTGTTTTTTTTTTGTTTTTGTTTTTTTTCAAAATTGTTGTATTATTTGGTCTCAAACATGCGATGTTGAACTTCTCGGCCACAGTACACTTCCTCCTCACTAAACAGCTCATTTATGAGTGCCATCAAACCCCAGTGTTTACATTCAGGACATAAACAGCTCACTGTGCACTTGTCTTTTAGTCTGAACATTAAACATTTTATATTCACTACACTTCGCCACACTCACTGATGTTTAACATCAAGAATTTTAAGAGCTAATAATGCCAACCAATTCATCGCACCTTTGACTTGAAGCACTGTGCATATTTGAACAGAATTAAACTCAGGGAGGAAGCAGCAGAACGACCCTGCATCAATATTCTGAAGTTTCCTAAGTTTGAGGGAGAAATTTCCTTGTGAATATTCTGCAGGAAAACTTTCAGTTCTGCTTTTGTAAACTGGCTCCTGCTCCTTAGTCGATGCTACGCCATCTTGTATGTCATACACATTCTTGCTGTCCTCATATCTCCAGTATGCAGTAAATTTGGTAGGTTGCCTGGGAGAACGACACGGCAAAACTACAGAATCTCCGATAAAAACCTGAACGGTTTCCTGAACAGATGCTGAAACAAAAGCAGAGACAGACCATGAACATGTGAAAGACTGAAGTCAATGTTGACTTCCAAGCTGATTCAAATAAATATCTGCAATATTTTGTGCTTACCTTCATTTAAAACTAGTATAAAGAAACAGACGAGCAACACACTGCAAAAACAAATGCAAAAACAGTCATACAGAAACATTAAACTATGATAACTACTATTCCCAATATTAAAGATATGCCTCAGGGTACTAGTTATATCTTTTCCTGAGGGGAATAAGACTTCAACAACAGGTGTAACAGTGACACAGAGGTCAACAAAACGTCATTTATGGTGACAAAAGTGGATGATGAAACTTGCAGTTTATATTGACAGGCAGCGTCAAGTGTGAAGATAACGTCACAGTTTTTTTGTGCAATTCTGTGCCAGTTTGACATTTATATAGCCTACATTACACCAACGGTTTATTTAGATCATTTAAAATCTTTTAAAACAGACAATTCTTGCATTATACAATACAATTGTTGCATTCATCAATATGAATTGATCTGTTATGCAACAGCAGGTGCCGTTTGACGTCACATATAATAATAATAATAATAATAATACAAACAAATATCAGCACGACATACAAAATAAGTTATTTGATGAAGGCATACATTCGATAACATTTGATTTACTTTAATTCAGTTTTCACGAATTCCATCTTAAATGTTTAATTAGCCTGGCAAGCTAGTTATTACAAATAACAGCTAATGTAGATAAAACGTTACATTAACGTTGCATATCTGCGCAAACAGCCGATTTTTTAACGGAAATGACATTTCTCCGTTGCTGGGGATATTTAAGACACGTTATCATCGTTAATGTAGGAATATCTATAGCACCACGCATTCTGCTAGCAATCCTAGCAGAATAATAATCCTAACAAAGCGCCTCTGTTCTGAAGAAGGCCAGAGGATAAAGAGCTCTACTGCACAACAACGACGACAATGTCAGCACAACGTACCTTTTGAGCATGATGTACAAATTTATAATAATGCAAATATATAGTTATTGGAGGAATTAAGCTGAAATTTCAGCTGAAATTTAACAGTGAAGCGTATCCATAACAAAGAGGGGAAATCCCGTTGCAGTTTTGATAACCATGCTAGATGGCGCTTTTGTACCCAACCAAATTTGTTGCTGTGCCAAATTATTTTACCAAATTGTGAACCAATTATTTCCAAATTAATTGTGCTAACGCACAAATTTACAGCATTGACATTATGTCTGCAAATAATTGGCTAATAATTTGGCAAAAAGTTTAACAGTCAAGATTAATTAAAATATAATAAAACTAAAGACTAAAACATGTCAGCTAATATACATTGTTATTCTATTTGTAGTAAATGTTTGATTTTTTGTGTGTGTAATGCAGGCAGAAATGATGTGGTGATCTACTGACCATCACCAATTTTATTACTGTTAGCTTTGTGATTATCTTTTACTGTTATTTTCTCCCGACTAATGTGTTGTCCCTTTCACCTACTCACTTTTCATTGTGTTTTGGTTTTTTCAAGGAATTTGTCAATCATTTCATGAGGAACATGGGCTGTTGTTACCGGTGTTGTGAAATTGGGCTTTGTAAAACAGGAGTTATCGAATTTTGTTGAAATTCTTGATTTAATTTGCTATAATCTTCACATTTATTTGAATATTATTGTATTAGAAACAAGCGCTGAACAAATGATGCTTGGTTCTGTCCCTCCAGCTGAACACCAGATGGCGCAATAACGATTACGATTCTTTACCCGCCACATCTTTCAACTGCAGAAGAAGAAGAAGAAAAAAAAAAAAAAAAAACGTCGGACATAAACAGAAAGAGGGATGCTCACTTCTTAGTGCACTTATTGATATTCTGCTGACCAGAATGATTTATCAGTGCCTTTACCCGTTCATAGCCCATGCCTGATATTTATCAAGCGAGTCTCAGACAGGTGTGTGCTGTAAGTATGGCATTTATGAACCTTATAGACCACTATCAGCTGTGCAACGTTAATATTTATGGCCCTGGAGTTGAACAGCCTTAAGGCTAAAAGCTTAAACTGTTTGTTATTAATCACGTTCATGATCTCTAGAGGTTCTAGACACTTATATTATCATAACTATTTCTATTATATAAGATTAGCTCGTGCGTGGTGTGTGTTATATTCGTATCTGTGTTTGATTAGTGACTGTACATATACATATATATATATATATATATATATATATATATATATATATATATATATATATATATATATATATATAAAAACAAACATCTAAACAGTCTTCAAAATATCAACCCAATATGAATGAGGGATTTAAGGACGTTTAAGGTTACTGGATTGTTCTGATATATTTCACAGGTTTGGTCACTGGTTTACATACAGATGAAGTACACTAGTCTAATTTCTAAATGAAGTACACAGATGAAGTACACCAGTCTAATTTCTAAATTAAAATCTGCATGAATAATAATTATGGAAGAAAGAAACGGTGATCACATACCTGAGCTACTTGGAAAGACGAACTTAAAATATTAAGGCTAGGCTACCAATATGACAATTAATATAATTACTATTATTATTTAGAACATTCAGTACCTTTTTAAAGATCAAACTGCATGTGTAAATTGTAGCAGAATATCTGTATATTTATATATATTTAAGAACTTATTTTATTCGTAAAACTTAAGTTTGTTTTTCTTTTCGAAAGTGATTCATTGTAATAATTGACTGTAATAGTCAATAATCGTGCATTATGTTAAACAATATCAAGTAATTTGAGTTCAGAGAAACACGTTTTTGGTTTAGTGTATAAAAAAACAGGGAAAATAAAATTAAAATATTTATTGAGAAATAGTCTGAAAAACATTTTTTTTATATCTTCAATGTTTCTCACTTATTTTCTAATACAGATATCATTTAATATTCTTAAATCCTGATACATTTACTTGAGATGTAAAATGAAGATACAAAGTCTTGTTTTCTGAGAAATATATTAAATGATTTCTGAATTTATGCTTAAATCAAATATTAATATCTGTCAGTGGGGTATGACTTTTTGTTTTAACCATATTGCCATATTGGTTTGTTCTTGTTTTAATCTTTAAGTCACTTCATTTTGATCAATTTCACTGAATTTGTTTCTCAAGTAAATGCACTTTGAATTATGAATCTTTAGACATTTGTACTGGAACAATTTGCTATTTTTTATTTTTTTTAATTGCAGGCACACTAAAAGTTATGGCTATTCCCATATTCTAGTGGAATATTCAAGTGTAAAATTAATTAAAAACTAATGGAGATCTGTTGGAAGTTGTATTTTGTTAACTCATTGTGTGCTTCCTAGACGTTTGAATTTGAGAATTGTTCAATTTTTCTTTAAAAACTTCAATTTATTCCTTAAATGTTCTTAAAAAAGTCTTGCATTTTAAACCTCCAGAACCCCTGTTTTTACAAATAATACATCTGTTATAGTGGATAAAGTTGATTTATCATGGTGTAAAATTGAACTGAGTTACAAATACATTATGACTTTAAAATCGTAACAATTATTGTATTTTTTGCAGATGGATGTCCAGTTCAGAATCCCCAAAAAGAAGCAGCCGTCAGATTCATGCAGTCTTGACATGCAGTCTCCACTGTCACGACTGCAGGACAGCAACACACACAAGGTGATGACAACATCATACACACTCATAAACAAATGTCCATATAATCAGCCAATACAAATTCCCCATTTACATTCTCATCTGAGAGAATAAAACTCCTAAAAGTCACTGCTCTTCAAACATTTCTCGTTCCACAGATGCAATGGGGTTCAACCACTCTTAATGGACGAAAGCTTCATAAATCCAGTTCTAATGGAAATATGCTGTCAAAAGACAGACAGAGGAGTGAATCGGTGAGGTAAGACTTCATATAGGCTAAACCATCACTAGATGGAGCTGTTTATTTACTTCTGGCGTTTGCTGAGGACATCTGAGCCGAATTGAAACAATCCCTAACCCTAAGTATTAAATCTACTGTAGTCAGACTTACAGTACATTGTAACAAGGATATGAGCCACATTTAAAGAGCAAAATATCATAATCAATTGCACAACGGCTCATTTTATTTATATTTGTGTCCATTTTTGTTCTGTTTCAGACCCGTCAGGACATCCCTCAGCAGTGAGAGACCGGATCTTTCACCTGACGCACGGACGCCAGGCCGCGTCCCGCGCACCTGCTCAGATAACCTTCCCAAAGGAGCCACACGTGAACTGGTTACTTTTAAAATGAACAGAAAGCCAATAAAAATCAGCCCTGTTCGAGTTAACGGGACACCTAATAAGGTGTCCGAGACGACAGGGTTTAGACCCCGATGTCAAACTCCCACCACAGCGAGAGACTTCCCAGGAAATAGCAGGTGGGAATCTGAACTGTGGTGTGGGGGTTAGTGCACATGGTCCAGAGGAGAAGATATTGGGATGATTTAGTGGGTTTTATAACGTGTGTGTGTATGTGTTTCAGTTGGAGACCCAAACGAGCATCGGATACTCTTCTCAGCCATGACGAGAACCAGTCCGGGGCGTCTGAAAGCTCGTTCAAGCTTCGTAGAGGTACATCCCTGGGTTATTTTAGGGTCACTAATATATTTTTGTAGTAGGTCCCCCCAACCCCCCCATTTTAGTAATTTTTAGTCCTGTCAGATCGATGAATCGCGATTAATCGCATCTAACATAAACGTTTTTGTTTATGACACGTGCACACACACCCATAGTCGTATATAAATATAATATATATGGCATAATATTATGTAGAAGACAACTTTTATGTCATAAGCGAATCGATTTTACAGCACTTGTAAATTTTACTAAGCAACTCAAACTAAATGAAAATTAGAAATGTTGCTTTTGAAACTAACTGAAATATTAATATTACATTCATTTACCCGACAATGCCGTTTTGGGGGCCTGAAAAGTTTTGAAAACGTGTTTCAAATTGCACGTTTTTGAAAACGATACCCTTACCCTCTCCATGTAAACTACAAAAATGTGTATTTGTGCACATGGTGATGTCATACACAGCTATTAGGTGTTCAGTCTATAGGTGTGTTTCTTTAAAAAGTGACATCGCCATCTACAAAATACAGCGTTTTTAGTCGTTTTCATGGATCCTTGTGAACAGACATTGTTTTAACAATGTTTTTGGACACAAAAAAACAGACAAAAGAAAAAAAAAAATCAATTTTTAGTGCACAGTTGCCGTATAAACATACCCTTTATTAACGATAATAAGACAAGTGCTTTATGGCAGTGCAAAATGCTTTTAGGCTTTTAATGAACGAGCAAAACCATCTTGGTTTGTTGCGTTTCTCTTCTCACCTGTCGGGTTAATTCGGTTTCACTCTTTTCTTGATGTTCAAAAAGTGGAAAAGAGAAAGTGAAATCTGGATCCTCTTTTCTTGGATTCACATTCAATCTTGATTCAATCTTTCTCTTTTACACTTTTTGAACATTCATTTTACTATAAATTTATTTATATATATATATATTTAATAAATAATAGATATCTAGTAAATTGTATTTATATAAATATATCTTTTTTTTTAAATATATACTTATATAATACAAACCAAGTTGTAGATAGCTTAAATAATATATAGTTTAATATAGTTTAGTTATACTGTCCTATTATTAACATGTACAATTTTAAATATTTATATAATCAAATATTATTATTTAATTAATTATATATTTTATTATTTACACCTTTTTATGACTTGGCAACCACTTTCGAACTGTGGCACTCAGTTTTGCACGTGTACACCACAATCTTCAGAAAATATAAAAATACATAATAAAAGTAAGCATAAATGAAAACTAAAATTGACCTATATACTGATTCTTGCCAAAAACACAAACATGTTCCTGCGTAATTCAGAAAGAGACTTTGGTTTCTCCCTAATGAGTTGGATCGTTAAACTAAAT